ATATCAGCACCCTGGTGACATGAAGCCACGCCCAGATTCGCAGGACGTACAGACGTCGATGAGTCTATTACGGAGCCTGCACCAGCGCAGGGAAATGAGCAGCGCTTGGGATTCGTGCGGGGGCTGGATAAGGAAAGTTTCGCACTCTTCGGTTCTGTGGCCTCGTTAGCCCGCAGCTCTTTACCTGCGCCACCAGGGGGCTCCTTGGCCAGGTTATTCCTTAAGAGAGCATCTGTGGCTGCCTGGCCCCACCTTGCCCAGAACTCACCCCAAGTCACACTGCAGACGGCCAGCACCTCCGCCAATCCGGCCTCTTGCTTAGGAGCCTCCTCGTGACCATAGGTGCTGCGCGTGGAGCAGGGTGGTTGGTGGGTCAGGATGCAGGGGTGGGTGCAGAGGTCTGGAGGTCATCTTCCACCCTGGAGGGCAGGGGGCAGAGCGGGGAGCCGCGGGTGCAGCCATCGCTGAGCTGCATCATGTTTAAATAAAAGCATGTCCCTGTTACAATACACGTGCTCGTCTCTTCGTGCCGAGAACAACAGTGGTGCCTAACGTTCCCCCCCCCCCCCGCCTTTCCCCCCGGGTCTAAACAATCAGGCCATGTGACTCATTTTTCCCCTATACAATCAGAAGAACACTGCCAGGGTGCAGCAGGGAACAGGCAGAGGGGAAGGGGCAGGGCCACAGCTGACTGACACCGTTGTTGTGCCTGATTTGCACCATTGTCAGGGCGGGCGAAATCAGGCCCCAGAAGTTAAAGAAACGCCTGCTGAAGACCAGCTGGATTTACTAAACGGTTTGCACGCGGAGCTGCAAAGTGCGGTGCCCTTTTAATGAATCGAGTGCCACAGGCCAGAGTCATGGGGTAATGAGCTTTTAACTACACACAGGAGTGACGCATCATCAGGGCTTTTCTACAGTGGAACAGCTGAGTCAGTTCAAAAGCTTGCATCCAGCTTGGCACTTTTTGCAGGCATGTGAGCGGCCGAAAGACTCTCAAGAGCGGCTCCTGCTCTCAGACATGTTGCTTAAACAGCAACCGGAAAAGGAGACCTGCAAACGGGGGGGTTGGCGCTGTGCATTTTTGTCTTTCTTTACGGTGGGTGATGAAGGCCTGGACGGTTAAAAAACTATGTGTGGAGGAATCTACATGGTCTTTTACCTGAGAAATGCACCGATCTTGTTTATTCTAGCAGACTCGGAGGAGGATTGGGAAACTAGTCGGATTATGACATGCCAGGTGTCAAGGAAGTGCAATAGGATTTCATCGAGACAGGGAGTGATTTAGATTCAGGCTGTTCTCCTGTGCTCCTTTTTTATTACTATCACTTAACTCAAATGTCCAATCAACACTTAGGGGAAAAGCTCTCTTTGTTAACAAGCCATCCAGGCTATTAAGGGCTGAGACCGCTCCAAAAATACATCTGTGTCCTCCAGCAAGACAAGGACAATAAGACTCCCCATTTCTGGTATTTCTAAGATATTTAAGAAAAAATGGCCAATTTAGGAACGTAAGAATTGTCTGACTGCACCAGACCTGAGGTCCATCTAGCCCAATATCCTGGTTCTGACAGTGCCCGGCACCAGATAATTCCTAGGAATTGTAGAAATGTAGGACTGGAAGGGGCAGGACAAAGTATCATCTAAACCATCCCTACCAGGCATTTGTCTAACCTGGTCTTAAAAACTTCCAGTGGCAGAGATTCCACAACCTCCCGAGGTAATTTGTTAACTACCCTTATAGTTAGGAAGTTTTTCTCAATGTCCAACTTAAATCTCCCTGGCTGCAATTTAAGCCTATCGCTTCTTTTCCTGTTCTCGGTGGCTAAGGAAAACAATATATTGCCCTCCTCTTTGTAAGAACCTTTTACGTACACGAAGACAGTTACCATGTCCCCCCTCGGTCCTCTCTTTGGCAGACTAAACAACCCATTTTTTTCCTCGTAAATCGTGTTTTCTAGATCCCGTTCATTTTTTTTTTCTTCTTGCTCTCCTCTAGACTTTCTCCAATTTCTCCACATCTTTCCCAAACTGGTCACAATACTCCAGCTGAGGCTGAAGGTGCAAGAAAGCTCGCAGAAGGCAGATGTAGGATAATTTGCCCCTGACATTTGGTCTCATCCTAATCCCTAGCGGTTACAGATTGGCTTAAACCCTGAAGCAGGTTTAATATCCCTGCCAAAATTGTTCTTGGGTGCAGTGTGGTTGTAGCCGTGGTGGTCCCAGGATATCAGAGACAAGGTCGGGGGAGTGTGGAGCACACTCCTGTAATGATCTTTGTACAAACTATGCCTAAGGAGGTATCATTTGAAAACTACCAACACACTGCTCGTTCCTATTGTTGTGTAACGTATGTTCAAAAGGTGTGTTAAGAGTTATGAACATAAACTGAAATCATGACCGAAGTGTGTTTACCAGACAAGTCTGGGGAAAGAGGTAAACATGCTTCTCAAAGACAAGGGACAAGTTGACACCTCTAGCCAGGCGTCATCAAAGCTGATTGGCAATCACCTGTCAATGGCCATTCTTTGGCAAGGAAGGGGGGCAGGAACAGATCAAGTTGCGTTTTAGCAAACAATATGGAACCTCTTTCACTACGAGACTCCATGTCTCCTTCCTCACAGCTGGAATGAACTTTATTTGGGAGAAACCTCAGGAAAATGCATTTCAAAGGATGACTGGACTGTAAAAGTGAGGGTCAAAACACCCCAGTTCATCTCTCTTTCACCTAGAAAGACAAAAGAACCAGCCCTTTGACTTTGGGGGGAGATCCTGGCCTGAGGATGGGGTCAGCCATGTTGCTGGGAACTGGTGATAAGGATTTTACCTTGAACCAAGTATAGCTTGTTAAGTTTTAGCTACTAAGAAGTGTTTCATCTTGATTTTTCTTGTAACCATGGCTGACGTTAATACCTTGTACTTGTACTCACTTAAAACCTACCTCTTTGCAGTTCAATCAACTTGTTTTATTTTTGACCTAAACCAATCCGGTGCTGTGTTTAAGGGGAACTGTTTGGGAACTCCAGTTACAGTAGCAAACTGTTGAACATTGACCCTTTACAGAGGCAACAGACCGTGAATATCTGAATTGTCCAGCAGAGGGCAGGAAAGCACAGAACACATGCTTTGGTTTTGGGGGAAATTCAGGACAGGGAGTGTGCTGAGGTCATTCTGCAGGTGGTAACCCAGGCTGGTGGAAAGCAGAATGTGGCTGACTGGCTGCTGGGGTCAGAGTTGCTGGCTCAGGCCTGCAGCTATACACAGATACTCAGGGGGTGAGCTGCCTGCTGGCAGGCTGTTGTGAGTGGCCCAGGTGGAAACTACAGCAGCAAAGCATTGTGAGGCACCCCGGGTTGCAGGGCAGGTGGTGACACAACCCCCCTCACTGGTCTGTATTGCAGCCCGCAGTGCGACAGTGAGGTCATATCTTTTATTGGACCAACTTCTGTTAGTGAGAGAGACAATCGGTCAGGCTTCCACAGAGCTCCTCTTCGGGTCTGGGAAACGTACTCAGGGGGTAGGTCCACACTGCAGTTAGACACTCGGGACTGGCCTGTGCCAGCTGACTCGGGCTCACAGGGCTCAGGCTAAGGGGCCCTGGCTCTAGGATCCTGCAAGATGGGAGGAGTTGGGTGGGTTTATAAGTAAACACGGAATCCGGGTGCTTGTGTCATGATGATCCGTTAAAACTTCCTAAATGAACAGTGATTGGGGGGGGGATAGCAGCGACAGCTCCTCCCTCGGAGCCTCCGGCTGGGTTTTTTGTGGTTTTACAATAACATTTTCCTAATTAAAAAACAAACAAACGTTATTTCTTCCCCTGCGGCTGAGGCGGAATCCCACACAAACAATAGAGGGCAGCAGTGAAACTGACACATACCAACTGCTGACAGGAAACATGGACAAAAGCAGAGCGAAATATTTTCCTTCCTTCATTTAGAATCATCTTGGAGGTCTCAAGGAGCTATAGAAGATGAAGGCCTTTCAGCCAGAAGTACAGGTCTTAAATCAACAGGTCCCCTCTAATTACTGAGTCCCAGCCCTGCATCAGAGAGCTGGTAAAGTCCTGGGCGATTTTAGAAACATGCTGTTTAGAATAAGTTGTGCCAACACATCCTCATTTCCCTGCCTGGTTGCTTTCCTTGTCTGGGTGTGTGTTTAACATGCTGCATGTGTACCCAGGCCTGCCTGCCTCTGGGCATCTGCAGGTTTTACATTAACCGGATTAAGCAGACATCGGCAAACAGCTATTAAAATTTTACTCCGAAACTCTCAAAGAGCATCTTGTCTGGCAGACGAGTGGGTGCTCCCTTTGATTCCCTGCTGATGGTCCCCTTGTTTGCAGCCCATATAGATTTTGTTCCCATTATGTGTTATAGGCAAATCATTCCTTTTGTTCAGAGAAAGGGGGAAGGAATCTATTTAGGGTAGGAAAGCATTCAGGGTTTTAGCTGTTCCGTTTAGAGATGTGTCTGGATCAAAGGCCTGCATCCCTGAGCGTTAAGGGGCTCTAAATCCAGAACCGAACCCAGATCTGAATGTTGCCGTTAGCCCCGGAATGAGAATCCTGAACCCATCCCGTCCTGAGCTTTGCGGGGGTTGGAAACCTGGATCTGAGCCTAGATCTGACTGGTGATTACAAGCTTTCTCTGAAACCAGAGTGGAACCCCAAACTCTGAACAACTTCGGAGCTGTGGCAGGGACAGGCTGAAATCTGGTCCCCAAAACCCCTATCTGAATTCCAGCGCCCGGGCCCAAGTCTAATTTCAGTTATTTACATTGGACAATTTTGTGTTTCATACATTCCCGGCTCGTCTTGTGCTGGTGTCTCTGCAGCGCGCCCTGTTGAGAAGCAAATTTTAGCCATCTGGCACAGCAGCCTGGAAAAAAAACGTACAACACAAACACACACACACGCATACCCTTGCAGATTTAGAAAGACAAAAACCTAGCTGAGCCCTATGGCTTTTGTTGAAGTCCAGGAGACATCCCTGTGGAGTGAGAGAAGGGACTGTGAGAACAGCCTGGCTGAGCGGAGGACAGTTTCAGCACAGTCAGGTTTGTGTGTGTAGAACTGTAGCAGGCAGAGGAAGGCGTGACCTGCATGGAGAATGCCAGACAACTCCAGTCACACATACACACACACACACACAAATCTGGGTTGAACAAAGATAAGGCAGACAGCGGAGCGTTTGGGACAAGACAGCCTATACCAAAAACACCCTCATTCCAAGCAGTTCAGAAAACACCAACAGCAGCAAAATGAAGTAAGTACCCATCTGGGAAACTGACAAGGGGATTCCCATGCTATTTGGGCAAGGTTGGGGAGGGGAATTGCCTCTGGAAAATACTTTACTTTGATGATTGCTTTTTTTTTTGATTGCTTAGCCTGCGAGGCAAGCAGCAAATAAAACATTGTCCGCGTCTCGAATCCATGCCAGTGCTGGGATTGCGTGCTGGAGTCCCCGGGAATTCTAGCTTACTGGGAGACGACTCACCATGCAGGCTGGCTTTTTTGGGTTGCAAAGAAAGCGTGTGATATCATTGCCACTTAGTGCTTTATTTACATAGCGTTCGCTGGGATTCTGAAAAGTGTGAGTTTCAGCAGAGGCGTTACATACTGTACGTGTTTCTGTTTCTCTGTTCACACCAAAGTCATTTTTCTTCCTTTCCTGAGGATAAGACTTTCCTGGCATGGCAGAGAAGTTTGATCTTATTTTTCCTCCTCTGTTACTGAGAAAGCAAAGCAAAGACATAACAGGCCAAATCTTTAGCTGGTACAAATTCGCATAGCTCCATCAAAGTCAAGGAGGCTTACACGGTTTACACCAGCTACAGATCTGGCCCCATAGATGTATTTCAACCAGAAGAGAAACAGTTTTTCCCTTCGCACATTTTTGTGGTTTCGAAGAAGCCATCAGAAAGTTGCATGTTAAAACTCACTTGCCTTGAGAGAAAAATTGATCCAAATTTCTCAGTTCTCGTTAACTTTCTCTGCTTCTCAGCAAAAGCTGAGGAAAGTGACTGTGGTACATGAAACCACCCCAGATATCTACTGCCCTGCTTTTAAAAGGACTCCATCAGGTTAAAAATAATTCATAGATATAGTTTTAATTTCTCCACTGGCATAGCTAACTCAAACCCTGATCTTGCAAACATTTATCCAGGATTTGTGCATAAATAGATCCGTTGGCTTAAATGGCTTCTGAAAGTCAAGGCCTGAGTGCCTAGTTTTTAAAACTGAAATAATATTTTTAATGGATTTGACTTTTTACACAGTCCCTTTACTGATGCACTTTATTCACTTGGATAATGGAATTAAACTGCTTAGGTTCTGGTTAGTTTCAAGCACGACAGAGGCAGAATGTCTCATGCCAAGCAGACCTCCTGTTTTCACGGGCTTTGTTAAAAAAACAAACATAATTATATTCGATTTTTGTGCCAGAAAAATGCACAAGACTGGGCATCAGGATGGCTGGATTATCAGCATTAATTTCTTGGGACCTGAGACAAGCACAGAATCCAAACTCTGCTGTGACTTTGGGCAAGTCACCTAGGCCCAGAACCAGACAGGACGCCTGAGAAATGGCTGCTCACTTCCATTGATTTCAGTAGAAATTAGGAGCCTGTCTGCCTTTGAGGATCTGGGACTTAACATCTCTGGGCCTCAGTTTCCCCATCTGTAAAATGGGGATAATACCTACCCTCCCAAGAGAAAGAAAGAAAGACTCACAAACAGAAAAGAGGGAAATAGATAAAAAAAATTAACTTTAGCCTCTCCTTACATAACATACACAATATGTCTATTGTAGTGCAGTTATGGAGCTATATAAGCTTGGAGAGTCAGCGCTGGTCTACACTGGGAATTTATATTGGCCTAGCTACATCTCCCAGGGGCATGAGAAATCCACACCTCTAAGAGACGTAGTTATGTCAATCTAACCCCCGGTGTCGACAGCACTAGGTCACCCTAGTGTCCGCCTCTGAGAGAGGTGGATTACCCACGCTGATGAGAGAACCCATCCCGTCAGTGTAGGTAGTGTCTACAAACCCTCAGTGATCCAAGTTTAGTGAGATGAGGGTAAGTACTAATAATAAGGCTTAGCTGTTATAGCCCTGATCCTTTCATTAAGTCTATTTAGGAAGCTCCATTATTTTATTAAACTTTTGCATGTTTATTCTTCCATTAAATTAAAATTTCCTGAACAAAGCAGCATTAGTTGCTGTCTGTTCCTCAGAAAGTGTTAGGTGCCCTGGGTTTGCGAGGAGGCCGTGTGCACAGATAGGAAATATTAAGCCGTAGATTGCACCTTGCACCATATCTTTCAAAGACACTTGATTCCCTATTATCTGAGTCAGCACTGACACTCCCACCCCCAACATGGGGACGCTGTGCTGCTTGGGCGCCCACCGGCTGGGTGAGATGAGGTCCCGTCCACTTGCGTTCATTAACAATCCTAAACATTTCTCATCAGAGTCAGATTATTTGCCCCATATCTCACCAAATTCCTGTTTGGAGTCATTACAATCTGCCTAAGGAAATCCCCCCCATGGAGGAGCCATTCCTGGTTTCATAGAGTTCAAGGCCAGAAGGTACCATCAGGTCATCTTGTCTCACCTCCTGCCCAGGAAAGACTGTTAAATTCCACCCGGTTACCCCTATCTTAAGCTCAAAGGGCGAGTCAACCTTTCCAGTGCCATTGGCTGGATGCTAGTTGTGCAGGGCACCGCCATGGGCCACATACAGAAATATGTGCTCTACAAAATGGCGGCCTTCATGAGGCATGACCTCGCAGGTACGGTGCATGGGAGGTCGCGCCGCTCAGGGATGCCATTTTGTACAGCAGGTCTGCTGAGGGGGCAGACACGTTCAGGGGCGGATGGAATCATTCCCTGGGCCAGATCTGGCCCACGGGCTACCAGTTGGACTACTACAGGAGACTAAACTGCATGCCACAAGGAGGGAACAGGAGAGACCGAGGTGTCGCTAAGGCCCCTGCACTGGCAGGGAATTGTTAAGTGAGACATGCCCAGGTGATTTTGGCAGGTGAACCACATCCCATGCTGCAGAGGAAGGTGAAAAGAACCTCCATGCTTGCCATCCTGAAGCCATAGTGTACCGGTCCCAGGCACTTTTCAGAGTAGAACCACCCTTGAACGCAGGACAAACCAAGTAGATGGTGACCTCGATGGGTTTCAGCCTGGGGAAACGTTAATTTGATCTTCATGTTTGTTTTGCAGGTACCTTCTGACCTGGTTCCTTTGTGCCTTCCTATTTGGTAGTGCAGCTGCCATTGAGTTGACGGACATGTTTGGGGAGATCCAGTCCCCTAACTTCCCAGATTCCTACCCCAGTGACTCGGAAGTGACTTGGAATATTTCTGTGCCGGATGGATTTAGAATCAAACTCTACTTCATGCATTTTGACCTGGAATCGTCCTACCTCTGTGAATATGACTACGTGAAGGTGAGATGCCCAAACGGCTCTATGCCATTGCTGTAGTGTGTCAACCCAAGAGCCAGGAGGGCATGCAGGTTGGCCACATTGGAGTGCTTAGTGTAGCAGCAGCATGGGCGAGTAGCTTTTTTCATTCACAGGGCACAAGCGTTGCTTTTCCAAGTAGGAAACTAAGAGGAAGCTGAGTTGGCGCTTATCAGCCAATGGCAAAAGGGACAGAGGTAGATCGGGTGATGTTCTTTATTGGACTAACGAATATGTTGTGAGGAGGGACAGGCAGGATGTTCAGATTCAGGGCTTAGACCCAAAGTGTGGACCTGAACACAAACGCCAGCACACCGTGATGCTCACTAGGAGAACCTGTGGTGGCAAATGTGCCAGGATCATGGCAGGTGGCAAAGATAATAGAGGCATGATGCCAAGGCCAGGAACATGCATAGAAGATGCCTTTAATTTGGAAAGGCTTTTTCATGTGCCGGGCCTCTCATCTTGAATGCTAAGTGATCCTTGCAGGCTTCGCCTTACCCTCTAGTGAAGAAGAATCCTGTATCCAACTCAAACTGTATCCAGTCCAAGTCATTAGCTATGGGCTTGAGCTGCTAAAAGTTTGGATCTGGTCCCAGACTTCCCAAAGGTCGTCAGACCCAAAGGTTTTGTCTGGTCCATTACAGGAGCAGGGATTGGCTGTTAAAGTTTGTCTCCAGATTTCCAGGCCGTCTTTTACAGTCACCCACATTGTAGGTAGGACTTTCTGGTTGACATCCCTCCGTGGGAGCTGTAGCAACCCTGAGCAGTCCAAGATTTCAGGCTGACACCTCCTCTGAACGATAGCATCTCCAGCCACACCACATTTCCTTACTACCATCCTGGGGCAAACAGAGCCGTGCTGCCACGGAGCACTACTTACTGGAGCAGCCAGTACAAACAAGGCAATACGCCTGTAGTTAGCTCCCCCTTTCTGTGCTGACTCTGGCCTATAGGACTGGACATACGTTACCATTACCGAAGGTTGTCAGTAGAGCCGAGTCCAAATCCAACCTCCAGTTCCAAACCCCACCAATCATTGAGATGGGAGGAGCGTGGATCTGGAGCTGACTTTCACGCCTTAGCCCCCGTCTCGTTTCCAGCTCATTTCAATTTCTGCTTTGAGAAAACAAAACAAAAATGCTGGTATTTTATTCTTCCTGCTTTAGTTGTTGTTTGAACTGCTCCATCGTGCTGGCACCGTTTCCCTTACTAACAGCGCTCGCTGCTATTTGATTAGTCCTTTCTGCTTTTCCTGGCTCTCCTCCAAGAACAAAGGTCACAGACACATACATATATATATAACTTTACAAAAAAGCAATGAGTTTGAAGATAGAATTCATTGGAAACTCCCCAATTCCAAGCATTACCCTTCACTCCCTCCCCCAACCCTCACGTTCTCGTCATAACAATCCCTTTTATTTGCACCTGGTGCCATTTGGCAGCAGAACTCTCCTCGCTCCTGGGTTTCCATAAGAAGCTGGTATTTTTCACAAGGATTTACATCTCGGCTGTATAAATTTGCTCCAGGCTGAAATTTAGCCTGCAAAGCCTCAGCCAGGGAATTACATTCTTGATGTGAAACGCTCAGCAACATCCATCTGGCTGTTTTGATGGTGACCTGAAAACTATCCATATGTATTTAGATGAAATAATTACAAAGTTCTGACTCAAGTGACCTGGCTAGAAAAAGTCAGGAGAGTGTCCAAGTGGCTGTGCGAATCTATGGAGATTTCCATCCTCGGTTCATCTCCCCAGCTTTTGTTAATATCGGTGGATTTTATGAAGGGGGCATACGCTCTAAAGGCCCATCGAACTGAGTGGGAGACTCTCCATTGATTTTGATGGATTCTGGACCAGCCAATGCACTCTACAACATCACCACTGCACAAACACCTGGGCTAATCCATTGTGACCATTATTGTAACACGGAAGAAAATCCTGGCTCGGGACAGGAAGAGGAAAGGTCATGTGGTGCGTCGGCCATTTGCCTCTGTTTCCCAGAGGTCAACACGACTGAAGCCAAGAGTCATATTAGCCAATAAGCCGACATGGGTGAAGGCTTCCAGACTGACAGCTGCTGAATTCAGGGCAAAGGATGAATCACCTCTGAGCCAATCAGAGAACATGTCCAAATCTCTGCTTCCTGATTGGTTCGTCAGAGGTGAATAATAACTTTTCCGGAGCTCTAAATCCATTCCTCGTTGAAAACAATCGTCGTAAAAACAATAAAGAAAGAGAACGTGCTCCTCACAAGGAATTGGGAACTGCGATGAGCCTAGTGAAGGGCACGAAGAATTCCTCCTGCAAAGAGAGATTGAAAAGATTGCGCTTGTTCACCTTAGAAAGGAGACGTATCAGAGGGGCCGGGAGAAAAGTACAAGAAATTACACACACACAAACCGACAGGAAAGGAATGTTAAGGGAGCAATCTCAAGCACTCAGAAGCTAGGAGGTACCGGAATGAAGGTCTCCTGTGCAATCTTAATTCGGCCCCCTTGTACGTAAGCATTATGAAACCATCTTTAATTGTATGAGCACGTACTGTTTTTTTCCAGAGGATCCCTGCCTTAATCAGTGCCAGGGATGGATGGTGCTCACTCAATATTTTCTTTTATCCTCATTGTTCAGTGGGTGGCCCCAGCCCTTATTTACTGGCCCCCGTTCCAACTCTGCTCTGAAGACAGAATCATTAATTTCCTTGTGGGTTTTTCCAGGGTGCTTATATCAAAGGGCTTCACAGATATTAATGGGTTTATTCTCCCAGCCTGCCTATGAGGTAGGGCAGTGCTATTATCCCCTTTTTACAGGTGGGGAACCGGGGTGCACAGAGACATTAAGGTCATAGGTGTTCACTAATTTGGGGTGGCTGATTTGAGCCCGCTCGGACCTGAGTTTTCAGCATACTTAGTATTATACCGCACTTGATATGTTCACAGCACTGACTTCAGTTGTAGCTGTGAGTGCCCAGCGCTTCTATAAGTCAGGCCCCAGCTTCTCAAGTCAGGCAGCAAGAAAATGAGGAACGCACAGCTATGGCCACCTGTGGAAAGGCTGGTTGAAGTGACTTGTCCAGTATCACACAGGGGCTCTATGGCAGGGACAGGGACAGACTCCAATTCTCCAGCACAGCGTTCAGCATGAATCTCTCCCTTCTCTCCCAGCCGGCCCCTGCCTTGTTCGCTGCACACCTTCCAGCTTCTGCAACAGAGGAGGCAGAGATCCTACGGACAACAGCCTCCTTCCCTACAAAACCCTGATTCGCCCCAGGACTGGCCTGTCCCAAGCTCTCCGCCCCCACTCCCCCAGGTCTGCCTCTTGTCCCCCCTGCATTCGAGTCAGACAGCTTCCTCCACCACACTGGGACTAATCACAGCGTAAGGCCTAGGTACTGCTTAGTGGGAATGAGGTTATTGGAATGTGGGTAAGGAATGGTGTCCCTAGCCTCTGTTTGTCAGAGGGTGCAGATGGATGGCAGGAGAGAGATCACTTGATCATTACCTGATCAGTTAGGTTCACTCCCTCTGGGGCACCTGGCATTGGCCACTGTCGGTAGACAGGATACTGGGCTGGATGGCCCTTTGGTCTGACCCAGTACGGCCGTTCTTATGTCCTTATGGTCCTCCTGGGAAAATCTGACTCAGTTTCCAGGTGAACCGGTGCCAATCGGGATGGTTTTGTGCACGGTCCCACCTGAGACTTAGGCCTGGTCTACACTACGGGGGGGATCGATCTAAGTTACACAACTTCAGCTACGTGAATAACATCGCCAAAGTCGACGTACTTAGAGCTACTTACCGCGGGGTCCACACTACGCGATGGCGACGGGAGACGCTCTCCCACCGACTCCCCTTGCGCTTCTCATTCAGGTGGAGTACAGGAGTCGATGGGAGAGCAATCTGCGATCGATGCATCAATCACCGCACATCAGTCCCCCGGTATGTGTAGACAAGTCCTAAGCGAAATGCCTCAACTTCGGTGGAATTTCTCACCTCGCTCGGACCCAGAAAATCAAACCAGGGATGTGACTCCGAAATAACAACAGATTGGCGTGATCTCTTGCGAACCAGACCAAGCAGCTTCACACAGCTCCGGGTAATAGAACTGGAGGAGGGGCAGCTTGAGATTCACCGGAACGAGAGTCAATGATATTCATTGTTTATGTCACCTCAGGGCACTTTACGGGCAAACTGGGAAGAAACAGCCTCATCCCCAAGGAGCTTACTGTGCTGGGTTGAGGTTTTCAGATCTAACTCGGGGATCTAGACACACAACTTCCATTCCTTTCAAGGGAGGGATTCTGCCAAAAGCCCCTACCTGGATTTGAAAATTTCACTCTAAGGCCCCGTCCGTGTTCCTGCAGTTTTATGCACACAGCAGGGATCTCTGTCATAGGAGTCAGCCCGGCGGATTTAATAGCAGGATCAGGGCTGAGGTTAGACATTCCTGACATCGATTTTAATCTGGTCATTTATTTATTATAATTAAGAGTCAACCCTTTGAATGAGTCGATTGCATCGCACTCTGCACATCACGAGCCTATGTAACCCACATCCTCTCTTCCCTGGTCTTTGCATCAGCAGTGATTCAGGAAATCACTTAAGCTTGTACTTAAGGCCCATTGATATCAGTGAGATTTTAGCATGTGCTTAAGTGCTTTCTGGAATTAGGGGCTCAGTTTGCAACCCCCACATGTTGCACATTGTGTAAATGTAAACAGGGCAAGGAGAGTCTCTGAGGGCTTGTCCAGCTATTCCGGAATTGCTCCCCGTGTGAACACTCTAGTCCGGAATAAAAATCACTCTGGATTGGGAATAACTAGTGCACTCGCCAAGTTTATTGTGCGAGAGCTATTCTGATCAATCTCCTCGTGTAGACAAGCCCGTACTGTTTGTTCATGCAGCACCCAACACAATGGAGCTCTGAACTTCTGGGTGGCGCTGGCACACTGACCGACACAGGGGAGGGCGTGACTGTAAGATAAA